AGGCAGAGATACTTTATTTCATTATTTGGATTGGAAAGTAAAATCAAAGGTCAGAGTTGTCTAATGGGGACCAAGAGGAAATGTTAGAAATATCCAAGGTAGAATCAGTTCAACCTAGAGCCAGTTCAGAAAGCTCAGTAACCTTCACAGTGGTTTTCATACATTAATAATCCTTGTGGCATTCCCAAGGATGAAAGAAATTTAATTCTCATATTCTAGTTACTGATAACCACAGGAAGAATCTGAGTGGATCGAGATGTGCCATAAAGGCAGGTCAACAAATACTTCATGAAATATTAAAGATCTACCATATCATCAGCACTATATGAGGCACAAAGTATCCCACTGACATGGCCTATTTTACAGCTCATTTTTTAAAATAAACTTTATTTTTTTGATAGACTTTATTTTTTAGAGCGGTTTTAGATTCACAGTAAAACTGAATGAAAGGTACAGAAATTTCCCCAAAATCCCCACCCCCACGCATGCATAGCATCCCTCATTGTCAACATCCCCCACCAGAGTAGTACATTTGTTACAATTGATAAACCTACAAGGACACATTATTATCGCCCATAGTTTACATTAGGATTCACTCTTGGTGTACATTCTTTGGGTTTGGACAAATGTATAATGACATATATCCATCATGATAGTATCATACAGAATAGTTTCACTGCCCTAAAAATCCTGTGTGCTCTGCCTATTCATCCCTCCATCCTCCCTAACCCTTGGCAACCACTGATCTTTTTTACTGTCTCCATAGTTTTGCCTTTATTACATGATCTTTTGGGAAAGCAGATTTGTCTTTAAAATGGTTATTTGACTAGGTTTTATATTAACATTAGTTTATATTTCTATAAACTGACTACACAAGCTGACCAGGCAGGCAAAGGTGGTCTGGAAATTCAGAGAGTAAGTGGTTTATATGTGTTTCACTGAAGGAGATATGTACTCATTAGTATTTCATTGTTCAAAGTAGCCTAAATATCAGGGATTATTGTTGAGGGTACATGGTGTACATTTCATATGCTGGCTTATGTTTTTGTGACTGCTATACAAATTCTATTAGAAGGAACAGACTAGAATAAATTTTATTAAATTATACATAAAAGAAGCTATTAAAGGACAGGTGACAGTATCAATAAGTTTTTCTGTTTTCTATGAAGGAAATTGCCATCTTCACTCCCCACCCTTGCCAATCAAATGATCTCTCATTGTCTCCTCACAAAATTACAGCTGTGGGAAAATGCTGAAGAAATGATAATTTAAGATAAAGGGATTCAGTAAGTTAAGCAAATATGAATATGTAGCTGGAGCAGAGGAAAACATAATATTGTCAGCAAATAGAGCCCCCCACGAAAGTTCCCTAGAGAGCTGGGTCAGCATTTAGGCCTTAGAGGCAGAGGCAGAAGAAATATCCAAAAAGAAAAAGAGGAATGGTGCCAAACCCAAACTTCCTGAATTTCAGAATTATTTTCCAGGCTGCCCTGGCACTTAGGAGTGGGAGGTTTTCTCCTCCTTCATTTGTGTAGCCCAGAGTTTCTCAACCGTGGCACTGTTGGCATTAGGACTGGGTAATTACTTTGCCCTGTGGGCTGTCCTGTGCATTGTAGGATGTTTAGCAGCATCCTTGGCCTCTACTCATTAAATGTAGCAACAGCTCCTCGCCGCCTCACCCCTACAGTTTGTAACAACCAAAATTGTCTCCAGACACTGCCTAATGCCCCCTGGGGGGTGTAATCACTCCCAGTTGAGAACCACTGATCTAGCACCTTCCTTAGAGTACTGGTTTGTACACTTAGCTGGACTTCACCTTACTATTTGTGGAACAGAGAACATGACCTCTACTTAAGTGTGTTTCACACCTCCTACTGAAGTATGTTCCAGGTTCCGAGTGACTGATTTACAGTGAGCTTTTGCAACACAGCTCATTTATAAATGAGGGCATATGTATTTGTGTGCTCACTCCAGATACGGTGTGCACTATTGAGAGACTGAAGATGATATGCAGGAAAGATGTAGTTGTGACCTGTCAAATGTGTTTTACAGGTAAAGTTGTGCATCTCCTTTTTGCATTGGTGCTTTTTTTCCCCAAAAATATCACTTTATTCATGCTTGATGTCACAATGATTATTGTGTTTTGTATCTTTCCATTAAAAGGAGCAATAAAATAGTAAATATTGGCATGAGAAGAGGGCACATTTCGAATATTAGTTATTTAGTATTTTAAAACCAGGTTTTATCTGATAGCATGGCTGAGGTGAGCAAAAATCTGAGTCCCGACACAATGGTTCTAAATCTCAAAAACTTAGGTGAAGATGATGTTAGACAGTTCCTTTTTATGAAAGTTACCACAAGTCTTTCAAAGAACCTTGTCTGAGTGTCAGAAACCAAATGGCCCTTGTCTAGACTCTTCCTGTAATGAGCTCTGTGACTCGGGAAAATCTCTTCACCTCTCTGGGTTTAGAGTCCTCATCTGTCAAATCCAGGGGGACAGACTAGATGGCCTTCCAGGACTGGCCAGCTCAAATGTAGTATCTATTTTTAAAAATATGTTCATGAATTATGAAATTAGACATTTGTTTGAGTTTTAAATCTGTTACAGAGTAGTGAAACCTAAAGGTTTGGAGATAGGCTAAGAAGAAGAACAAGGTATAAATTTTATTCAAAGATAACTCCAAATAGACTGATGTATTCAGTTGAGCTATGTGTTGTATAAAATGAAAGAGGTACTCATTCAGTGCTAAAAATTGCTAGCTGTAGACTACAGGAAGTGGTTTTTGTGGGTAACCAGGTTTGCCCTCAACTACTCTACAGAAGGAATATTTAAAAGTTAAAAAAGCAAGATTGTGCCTTTGACAATAACTGCAAACCAAGCTGTCAGAATCATTTTTACTTTTTGCTTCTACTTTGTATAAAAAGATTGTGAAGACATCAAATAATGTGAAAGAAATCTCATAGTCAGTCATCTATAAAACCATTTAATTGGCTCTGGCTTGTGTAGTCAGTGAATCTTTTAAACACAGTAGACACAGCTTTTCAAATAGCAATGTTATATTTATTGTATAAATCCAGCTCACTCACTCAGCAAATGTAGTGTCCTACCTTAAACAGTGTATTTTATTGATAAAGTATAGATTTTTAGATGTCTTCTGGCCAGTTCTGCAGCTGGGTGTGGAGAAAAATAACATTCCATTGTAGCTCCTGAAATAATTACTTCATCTCCTACAGTACCAAATATATTTTCATCCTTCTCAATTAATATGCAAAGCTTCAAATGTTGTCATATGTCATAAAATTAAATAGTTCCTTTTCAAATTTAGCTATAATATTTGACAATCATCATTCAGAACAGTGACCAAATAATTCTCTCCTTTCTTGAACACTTTTTAATTTTTCTTCCTGCATTTTAATGGCTTTGCTAAATTATAGACATAATATCTGATGCTTCTAACCATTTTGAGATTGATTGTTAATAAAAGAGGCATAGAGAAAGGAGGGCTAATCTGGAAGTTTGTCTCTAAAATGTAGTTATTGAGTTATGCCAGATATATTGTCAAACTTCTTGAATCTCTTATTTAGGTAATGATGACCCCTTAAGGATGATACCTAATTTTTGGTTATTGGTTTATTTCTTTTATATGCAGACTAAGACTTAAAGATTTAAGCAGCAGTGATTGAATCAAAACCCAGGTTTGCCTTGGAAGTATTAGGGCAAAGTCACAAAGCTTTCCTGGGATTCAGTGTCCTTTAAATAAAATGGAAATAATGGTTCTTTCTTAAGAATACCATGGAGGATACCTAATGATGAGAACTATGTTCATGCCAACTATTAAATATCATTTCTAAATAATAGGATTTGATCAAATTATCTTAGCATCTTTTGCTTCCGTCAGGTAAAATTGCAAAAGTGGGATCTGTAAAAGTTAAAGAATAGAACTCAGTCTTTCATATAATTTCTTATGTTATTAGTAGGGTCAAAGGAAAGCAATCTTTTGGGAAAGAAGATTCAAAGATAAAAGGAGGAGGAAGAAATATGATAAATTTCCAAAATCATACAAATTATTGTGCTCTGATAATTCAGTTGGAATTTAAACTCTACTTTTGAAATAGATGCTGTCTCTTTCAAAAAACTGAGAACCAATTTTTTTCTGTCTCTAAAAGGGAAAATATGTCATAGCTGCATTAATTTAAAAACACTAAAATAACAGGGTGGCAGCACTCAGTAAGAAACCAGTGTGGCTTTTGGCTACATTTCTGTTGCTTCTAAGTCCTTTTCAAGTATTTTAATTAACTGTACTCTTTTTGCTGTTTAATCTGCTTATCCTTTTTCCTATGCTATTCCTTGACCTGGTAGATCTACCCCGTCAGTAAGAAAGAACATGAGAAGAAAATAGTTTGTGTCTTGCTGTGGTGATCGCTATGTCTTGCATGAAGCTTTCTTTATATGTAAAGTGTTTTTCCCTCCTCATTCCAATCCATTATTTTTTCCTGTCTCTAGATGTAAGGTTCTTAACGATGTTGGAGATTTCATCAGATGAGGACAGACAGCTGGTGAACATTCTCTGGCTCTTCAACCCCTTTTCCATATCTTACTGAAACCCCTTTCCATGATAAATACCTAGAAATATTGAGAAGACCAAATAGTCAAGAAAATTTTTATTATAATACTCGCTTTTCTGTGTTTTCACCACAGTGTCAAGTCGTTTGATGAGATAATTATGCTATTATGTGGAAATATTTCCTTTTCTAGAATTAAATTTGATTCTAATATTACCACTATGAATTTTATTCTTCTCTTACCAAGGACCAAAAGTTTTAACAATGTCCCTGCCCTATTTTTTTCCTTCCCCTGCCTCCCTCTGTTATAAAAGTTGACAGATGTGAATCCCAGGGCAACTTAAGAGGGTAAATCAAAATGGGGACCATAAAGTGTATTTAACTTAGGAAACTTGGAGCTATTTTGAACATGTTAAATCACTACTCTTTGCAAATAGGAGGAAGAAGGCACCTACGACCAAACTATTGAGTTCCGTAGAGGAGGTGACGGCCAGCCACGGCGATCCACTCGGCCAACCCAGCAGTTTTATCAACCTCCCCGGGCTCGGAACTAATATGAAAAGGTAAAGTCGACATTGTGAGATGGTTTCCAAATAAAAAAAGATGCTATTCATGTTAAATATGTAGGTCCAATTATTAATATTTCATAATAATATAACAAAGATATTTTAAAACTTTCATTTATAAAGTATTTAAGATTATACCGTAGTTACAACTACTTTTCCACTAAACTTTTCCCTACAAATGCTATCCCTAATCCCTTTTTTTCTCTTTACCTCCTCTCTTCTTTTGGAGGTGATGACAATCAGTGAAATGACTAGATGTTTGAAAGCAGGAAGATGAAAGAAAACTAAGTACTGGATAATCACCAACCTGGATAACTGAGTTTATTTTTTATTGTTTAATTAATTTTAATTAATTTTAAGAAAGAGGAAATGTTTCATAGTATATCTTCAGGAATTGGTGAGGACAACATGATTGCTTATTGAGATGTAATTTTGGGGCCCTGTGCTATAGATCCAGAAACTTTCATCTCCAATAGAAAGGAAAAGAAATATAACAAAAAAGTCAGGAAATAATGGGACCAATCTAAGACATCTCATTTTGATGAACAAAGACCATATTTCTTACTGTGTTTTTGAAAGGAAATATTTTTGCCATCTTTGGTAACATTTCTATTTTTTCCTTATGCCAGGGCTTTTGAATATTTTTTTTAGTAATCATAGTGTTCCCATTATAGCTTTTGTTATATATCACTCTAAAGACTATTTTAGACTTAACCGTATTTTTTTTCTCAGTAGCAAGACCACTGAGAATTTTTAAGAAATTTTTCTCAGTTCCTCATTTCAGCTATTCATTCTGCTAAAGCTGTTATCCACATTGTATTTTTCCCCTGCTAGGTGACTCTCAATTTTTCAAACCTGCTATGGCTGTTTAGTGCTTGAAATGCAGCTAGCCTGAATTGAAATGTGCTGTACATGAAAAATGCATACTAGATTTCAAAGACAGTTAAAAAAAAGTCTCAATTTTTATTGGTTAAATATTGAAATGATAATATTTTAGATACATTGGGTTAAATAAAATGTTATTAAAATTAATTTCACCGGGCCGGCTCTGTGGCTTAGCGGTTGAGTGCGCGCGCTCTGATGCTGGCGGCCTGGGTTCGGATCCTGGGAGCGCCCGGAGGCACCGCTTCTCCGTCCAACGCGAGGCCGAGTCCCGCGTACAGCAACTGGAAGGATGTGAACCTATGACATACAACTATCTACTGGGGCTTTGGGGCGAAAAAGCTGAATAAATAAAATCTTTAAAAAAAAAAAAAAAAAATTAATTTCACCTATTTATTTTTACTTTTTTTAATGTGGCTACTGGAAAATTAATTAATATAATGTGTCTCACATTATACTTCTGTGGGACAGCACTGTCCCAGAGTCTTATATTTCCTTCAGCTTCCCCAAGTCTCCTTCACTGGTTAAAAATTAGTTTTGTCATCCTAAGTGAAGAAATGTTGTCTTCTGTTTTCTAGCTCTTAGCTCCGTAGGTAGTAGGAAGCTTGATGCTACTTGACTTCTGATTTACCAGAGCAAGCCACTGTAGAATCTTTTTGCTCTTATCCTTGGTTTTTCTTTGTGCTTAATACAAGGCCATCAAGTAAACAGACGTGACCTACTGTCCATAGTATCACAGAAGAGCTCCTTCTGGACTTGGTGCATTTTTCTGTAGCATGCAAGAACTGACCAAAGCAGAATCGAAGTATATGTAAGGACTTCAGCAACTTTATGTTGTGCAAGGTTGAGCATCCACTTTTAAAATAAGCTCAGTGTACTTATAATTAAATCTCTTTTAAGGTGAATGAAAACTGAGAATTCCCTCTTAGCTTTCTAGTTCTGTCAGATTTTTTTACAACAAGGTTTTAAAATAAGGCCAAAGGTTCTCAACTCCCTGAAGGCTCTAGGGCAGGGGTTGCCTGACAGTGGGTGCTGGACCCTAGGACTCTGTAGGGGTGCCTGGGGGCTAGGACCTCGCAGGGCCAGAAGTAGAGAGATCGCAAGAGTGAGGAAGGGGGAGCCTTCAGTCCTCTCAGCCCTTCTTGAGTTTCCTTCATATATTTTATATACTAGGGTTTCATGGAAAATTTCCTTTGAAAAAGAGTATACTGCTTAAAAGTAAATTACAAACTGCAATCCTGGGGTAATTGTAGCTTATTCATATCAAATAGTACAATGCACACTGTTCCTAATCAATTTAAACATCACAATCTTAGTGGTTTTCTGTGCTTTCTGAGTTAAAACTTTCATCTTTCCCAGACACTTGCTTTGGATTGTACTGTTGACATGGGAAATGTGTGACAGAAAGTTTGAGTTCCTAACATCAAAAAGAAAATTAGTTTTGGTGTGTGTGTGTGTGGGGGGGATAGTCTCATGATGATATCCCTGAAAAACCTCTCACTACAAAATTTACCCTAAAAAATAAATTAAAAAGCAAGGCACGTGATCTTTGTTGAAAAAAATTATTTTTTATTCATTTTTGCATTTTAATTCAAAGATGAAAAATTTGAAGCAGAATTAAATATCTTTTTGATATACTGTGTTTGAATGGGCAGTTCAGCAATAATAAGAATTTCTTTTTTTGCTTTTGTCATACAACTGAATATATTATTTTCTTCTTGAGAGAAAAGATATTTTGTTTTTATTTCCTTATTCTTGGTTTCCATTAACTTAAACATTTAAAAAGATATACATTGTAGCCAGCCATTTGACTTCTAGCAAGTATAAGCATGAATTCTAATATATGCTGAAATTTTGCGAAGGTTTTGTTATCTAAACTTATTCAAGATTGTAAGAAACACTTAGGGCGCTTTCTATTATCTCTTTAAAAAAATATAATTTTGTAGTCATCATCTTTCTTTTTATGTTTTGCATAATTTTCTAAGTGATGAATGACATATAGTAGCTGTTCAGTAAGTGTTTATTAAATGTGTTTATTAAGTGTTTATTAAAAAAAGTGTAAATTTGGGGCTGGCCCAGTGGCATAGCAGTTAAGTGTGCATGCTCCACTGCGGCGGCCCGAGGTTTGGAACCCCGGGCATGCACGGACACACCGCTTGTTAAGCCATGCTGTGGCGGTGTCCCATATAAAGTGGAGGAAGATGGGCATGGATGTTAGCCCAGGGCCAGTCTTCCTCAGCAAAAAGAGGAGGATTGGCGACGGACATTAGCAGAGCTGATCTTCCTCACCAAGAAAAAAAAAAAAGTGTAAATTAAATATGTGTATATATTGATAAAATTTTTGTTGTGTAATTTACGCATTCCTTGATTGTCCTAAAAAGGTTTTTTACAAGCCCCCTACACCACCACCTCACATACACATATACTTTCCCACAGGTGGAGAGGGAATTGGATTCTACTTAAACCTGGTACTAAGGGCAACATCAGAGACTAGTGAAAGCAGGAGACAGCTGGGAGTCAGGGCTAGGTGAGAGAAGGAGGCCTCGGGAGCAATGTGCAGAAATAGGCCCAAGTCTGAGAAAAGTGGCGGCAAGTCAGATCCGAACTTTGAGGGGAGATGGGGCCCAAAACTCCAAACTTGTAGTTCCTGGATTCGTCATAATTGTTACAGACAACTTAGAAATATGAGCAGATATGGATAGAGAAACTACCCATAGTTCTTTAATCCGTGAAACCAACCAAAACTATGTCATTTGAAAAGATTTCTGAAATGATTGGAATCCTAGGAACTAGATACTAATTATTAGTAGGAGCAGGCCTTAGAAATGAATTTTTTTTTTTTTGTGAGGAAGATCAGCCCTGAGCTAACATCCATGCCAATCCTCCTCTTTTTGCTGAGGAAGACTGGCCCTGAGCTAACATCCGTGCCCATCTTCCTCTACTTTATGTGGGACACCACCACAGCATGGCCTGACAAGTGGTGCACTGGTGCGCGCCCGGGATCCAAACGCGGGCCACCAGCAGCGGAGTGTGCACACTTAACCGCTACGCCACGAGGCCGGCCCCTAGAAATGAATTTTAAGCTCCATTTTCATGGTAGGGTAGAGACCTCTGAAGACATTCTAAAGGCCGAGGAAGGCTTAAAGAAGGGAAGAAGCAGAGTCCACAGGAGGCAGCTTTCAGTGGCTACAATTGAGTATGTGAACCAAAACAATGGGTGTTAAAAATATTTGTTGGTGGTGACTAAAGAGTATGGCTTTAGACACATTGAGAGTTTGACTTTGATGTGTTTGGTGCTATGATGAACTCTGAATAAGAGTGATATAATGAAAATTAGGCTTAAGAAAGATTGCTGTTGGCAGTAGGAAGGATTACAGTACCAGGAGGGAAAGAATCTCAGAAGTGATTGCAATGGTCCAGTCTAAGAGTGGTTAGAGTTTTATGTCCTGCTGTGAAGAGAGAGATATGGCAGCCTGTGTGGGAAAAGTGTTAAGACACATCAGTGTGAAGCTCCCTAGTGCTGTGGAGGTTTAGGCTCAGCATGCAAAGTGGTTTAATAAATGTTAACTCACTTTGAACTTCATTTCTAGTTTGTTATTTGTTTGATGAAAGAATGGTCTTCACAGTTTCATGTATTACCAGAAACCTTGAGACCAATAGCTAAGCATAGACTGCTACATAAATACCATGACTTGGTTTATTTTCTAAGGTTCAGGTTTTTTTGTTTGTTTGTTTGTTTTGTTTTTGTTTTTGTTTTTGTGAGGAAGATCAGCCCTGAGCTAACATCTATGCTAATCCTCCTCCCTTTTTTTGTTTTTTTTGCTGAGGAAGACTGGCTCTGAGCTAACATCTATTGCCAATCCTCCTCCTTTTTTTTCTCTCCCCAAAGCCCCAGTAAATAGTTGTATGTCATAGTTGCACATCCTTCTAGTTGCTGCATGTGGGACACGGCCTCAAAATGGCCGGAGAAGCAGTGCATCGGTGCGTGCCCAGGATCCGAACCCGGGCCACCAGTAGCAGATTGCGCGCACTTAACTGCTAAGCCACGGGGCTGGCCCTAAGGTCCAGGTTTTAACACCGTTTTTAGTTGGTAAAAAAATGTATTATTTATTTATTTATTTATTTATTTTGTGAGGAAGATCAGCCCTGAGCTAACATCCATGCTAATCCTCCTCTTTTTGCTGAGGAAGACCGGCTCTGAGTTAACATCCGTTGCCAATCCTCCTCCTTTTTTTTTGTCCCCAAAGCCCCAGTAGATAGTTAGTTGTATGTCATAGTTGCACATCCTTCTAGTTGCTGTATGTGGGACACAGCCTCAGCATGGCCGGAGAAGCGGTGCGTCGGTGCGCACCTGGGATCCGAACCTGGGCTGCCAGTAGCGGAGCGCGCCCTCTTAACCGCTAAGCCACAGGGCCGGCCCACCAAAAATGTATTTTTTAAATACCAGTTTTTTTTGACAATCTCATCCAGCATCCTTTTGTAGAATTTTTCAAATCAAGGTCAGGAAAATGATCACTAGAAAGATAGCTGTTAGAGAACCCCATGAAGCCGGCGGAAGGCATCATGTGAGGATAATAGTACCCAAAGCTCTTTATTTTCTAAGCAGGAGACTATTTACTTTGCAAAACTTATGAGCTGTTCGTGTGCAGCTGTGGCAACTCTCCCCATCCTTGCCCAAGTCTTCTTTCATGGTGAAGCTGAAATAGGACTGGAGCAAACAGGGCTTCTCTCAGCTCTTTCTGTTGTCACCACCCAAAATATTTCAACTAAAGTGGTACTTAACAAAGGTGCAGAGCAGGCAGGAGGAGGTGACAGACTAAAATAAATTACCTGTGTGGACTAAACCAATTCAGGGTACTCAAAGGGGAAATGGAGGTGGGTAGGAGGGAAGTAGAAGTTCATTGGCAGACTGTATCTTTTTTAGGTCATCCTCTGTTAAAAAACTATTCAGTTAATCCAAATTCCTGGACTCAACATGCTAGCAATAAAGGGGCTAAAAGTGACAGAGATGTAGTTTAAGAATTTCTGGAAGAAACTTTAAAAGATTTTGCTTTTTTGTTTACATATTTGTTTGTAGATATTATATTTATAAATTAGACAACAGTGTCCAATTTATTCTACTTGAGATCTATTGATATTTATGCAAGCACTGCACATTTACGGATAAGTTTCAGCAGAAGTGTATCTTGAGTATGGAAAAATTACTTTGAGGGTCCAATTTCACTTTCTTCCTCTCTTTTTAAATAGAGTCTTTATGAAGAAAGGAGCTGTTGACTGAAACATTCTGGTCAAAACCTGTTGATAGACCTCCTGCTCTCCCTTCAGAATGAGATGCAGCCATGGTGGATATTATTATTTGGAGAATAAAAAAGCAGATTTTAGAGGAAAAAAAAATTCAACCCACACAAAGAGTGGGAAAAAATACTAAGTTAAATAAAGCAAATACCTTTTACAAGTGAAAGAATTTTTTCTTCCGCCATCAATAAAACCAATGTGCTATTCTATACATTGTTTTACTGTATATTTTATGTGCCGAATGTTATCTCTCTTGTTCATCTGGTATTAATAACCCCATATTATAGACTAGAATAGCTGTTACAACATACTGAAGCCTCCCGCTATAATCACAGAACTGACTGACTGACACAGCTTGCCACATTTCTTGCAAAAACAACCTGAAGCCAAATAGCAGTTCTTAGTATGGTAATAGCTGTTAAATATGACAGCAAAAGGTATTTAAAACTTGAATATGTTGTTTTTAGCACTCTACTAGCTTTTTCAGATATAATTTGATTAAAAAAACAGACATTCCCTTCCTTATAAAATGTGCAGTGTATCTTTCAGGATGCATCTAGTTGCAAATAACAGAAAACCCAACTCGAACTGGCTTACACACTAAAGGGAGTTTACTGGCTCACTTCACTTCCAGAAGTGCAGTAGGGTTCAGTTGGTTTAATTTAGTAACTCAGAGTTATTGTGAAAGACCCTGACTCTTTGCATCTCTCATTTCTGCTTTTTCTGGCATCAGCTTCATTCTACAGCAGGCTGCCCCATCTGTTCACAAGATGGCTACAACCCCTGAGCTATTAAGTGCAGGGATGGGGTTGGAGTCACTTCCAGAAGTGCACTTAGAAGAGAAAAGAAGCATTTCTCCTTAGGCCACATTTACTTGTATGGTGCTACTTTTCTACCTGTGAAATAGTAACTTCAGCAAGGATCTGTGGATTAGTTTAGGCCTGATTCAGGTTCTCCAACCTTACAAGTAGGAGTGGTCTGCTTCCCTGGAAGCATGTTTGATTCAAGGCAGAGGATGTACATCTGAAGGTCAGGATACTTGCCAAAAGGAGAGGGAGGTGTTGGAGAAGCAACAAGAATGTCCATTACAGAGAACGAATATGTCTGAACTACAAACTCTTCATTTAATAGGACAAAGATAGTCTTTCCATAGTCTCAGTCCTGTGAAGCCAGAAGTGAACAGTTAAAAAGAAAGAATGAGAAGGAGGGAGGAAGGAAAAAGAAAACAGAATAACAGAATCCTCTGGCTGAAATAATTGACAAAATTTAGTACTTTGCTTTGAAGAAGACGGCCTTAGGCATACTCGCAGGGCTATTAACTTTAAATTTTCGTTATTTATTAGCCCACGGTTGATTGTTTCTACAATATCTTAATAAGTGGAAGGGTGAGAAAGACATGGCTAGCAGTGTTGGGTTTTTTGTTTTGTTTTCAGCATTGCTGTGCATCATAAATCAACTAGGAGTGGTGTGGCCTGGGCATTTTTTAAAAGACCTGCAAGTAATTCTAATGTGTATCCCAGGGTTGAGAGCCAGAAGGCGGCCCATGGTGGTTTTGATGAGTTTGACAGCTGATAAGTCAATGAGGGAAGAGGCAGAAGAACTTAAATGGAGGTCTGAGGGTAGCTTAAAGTACTCGTTCTCTGCACTTTCTTGTTTGATAGATGGGGACAATAATACCTGGTACAGTGTTAAGCCTAGAATAGACTCTCAATAGATGGCACTAGTGTTGGCTAGTGTTTATCATCATAACTCAACAATCCCTAAGAACAGCTCTATATGGTAATGTGTGGTATATATGATTTGACCTGAAGATATCAAGAAAAGTTTAAATTGGACAGCTAGTGAGGCCAGCCTATCTGCCTCCTAATTGTTGGTGGCTGCTGGAGCATTGAAGGGTAGGTCCTGTCCATTTCTGACAGAGCACGATATACTTGTCTAAATACGTCAAAAGCTAAGCTCCACTGTGACTTGCTGTTATTAAGGGCAGCTGCAGGCCTGGATGTGCGGATGGGGTGTGTAATGATAAAATAATCGTCACTCTTTGCTGAGGTTTCCCCTGGGTGCCAGCACTGTGCTTAGCACTTTTCGTTCATTATCTTTTGTCATGTCCACAACAACTCTATGAGGTATGCATTACTACCGCCATTCCACAGCAAAAGTAGCTAATGCTCCTTCAGAAAGGTTCAGTCCCTTACCCCAGGAAGCAAAGTGGAAGTGTTGGAGCCAGGATTCAAAGCAAATCATCTACAAGTGCCCCAAGGAAGACAATTAGCAGCCCGTATTACAGAAGCGGCTACAGGCCTTTTCTCTTCCCTGTTTTTCATTCATTGTTTATTTCAGTTTTGTTTTGGTTTTCATTATGGCTATATTCTATCATGTTAATTAGTCCCATAGGTTTGTCTTACAATTTGTCATTGCCAAGAAGCATGATGTTTATTTATTTATTTTTTTTTGTGAGGAAGATCAGCCCTGAGCTAACGTCCATGCTAATCCTCCTCTTTTTGCTGAGGAAGACTGGCTCTGAACTAAAATCTATTGCCAATCGTCCTCCTTTTCTTTTCCCCACAGCCCCAGTAGATAGTTGTATGTCATAGTTGCACATCCTTCTAGTTGCTGTATGTGGGACGCTGCCTCAGCATGGCCGGAGAAGCGGTGCATCGGTGCGCGCCTGGGATCCAAACCTGGGCCGCCAGTAGCAGAGCGCGCACACTTAACCACTAAGCGATGGGGCTGGCCCCAAGAAGCATGTTTATCTTTGGGTTTTCCTCCTAGTCTATGGCACATCCGTGTCTTCCCCCTCACCCCTTCCTCTTCTCTCCCTCTTGTTTCCAGCCCTATTTTTCCTTTAACTTTCCATATTTATGTTTGTGAAAGCTCAAGTTTTTAATCCTTTCTCCTTTCAAAGAAAAAAGTGGTTTTAATTACAGTTCAAAAATTAATGTATTTATTCAGTAAATATTTCCTGAGTACTAATTGTTCTCTGCACCATGCTGTAAATAAGACCGACATGGTCTTGGATCTCACAGGGCTCACAATATAGCTCCTTTTATTTGTTTGTTTTAGTTCCTGTATATTATCCTTTTCACGTGCCTTCTATTTCTATATTATAAACTTCATTTCTTAAATGTATTTCATTGACTTATTTTTGCTAAACTACTAAAAATTAGCAATTTTTAGTTTTAATATTTTACCTTCTCTTCTCTATTTTTTTAATTTTAAAATATTTTTCATCCTGGGCCATGGGTACTAGTTTTCTGAAGAAAATCTTCATGGTTTGGGGAGGAACCTGAGGTTGTCTCCAAATGTTTGCCACGTCTCCTGAGTGGACCCGGCTTGAAGGACAGTTAGCACTGCTGACAGTTTCCTTCCCACCCACACCCCTTCCACTTACTAAGGTATTCTAGAAACAACTGTGAGCTAGTAAATGAAAGAAACTAAGAGTTAATAGGCCCTGAGAGAATGCCTATAGCCTGCTCCTTCAAAGCAAAGTACTCTATTTTGTCAATTTTTTTGGTCAGGGGATTCCCTTGCCACCTCCCCCTCCTTTTCCCTCCCTCCCTCCTTCTCTCTCTCTCTTCTTTCCTTCCTTCCTTTCTTTCTTTTTAATTGTTCATTTCTGACTTTATAGGACTAAGACTATGGAGGGACTGTCTCATCCTGTTAAATAGTTTGTAGTTTACTGGACCTTTCAGGCTTAGGCCATAATGACAACACCCCCAGCCTCATGCAATTCTCTCCTATTTCTATGCAGTTACATCTCTCATGGCCCTTTCTTTCTTAATACACATCGTAGCTAACCCCACTGCCTGCAAGGAGTAAAACATGGAGGAACACATGATTGACAGTGGTAAGAGTTGTGCTCCCACTGGGCCTAGACCAGAGTGGCCGTCAGTCTTGCCAGCACTGACCCCTGAGTGGAACGTGCTGGAATACAAGATCTCGTCCTGTGTGTGAGTGAGTGAGAGTGTGAGTGAGTACATGACTTGGACAACTTTTACTAGGCCCTGTCTCTTGTCCCCTTTTGGAGTGGATAGATAATTTGTGCTGTTTTTCAAAAGTAAAAAGTGTGCCGGGATAGTATCATTCTTCTCTATATCCCATTCCAGTAACACTTCTTGAGGTGAAATGCTGTAGATAAAAATATTCATTAAGACAACATAATATGTTTGCATAAAGAAAAATATAAGGCCACAGACATCAAAAATGGTTTTGTAGAAATAGAAAAGAGAACAGGGCTAGCTCAAATTTTTTAACTATAGGAAAATCTTGAGTTTGGTGTCAAATAGTTTACATACAATAGGAAAGAGAAAGTTCAGTCAAGAGAAGTAGGTCTTCAGCCAGGGAATAGATTCCACAAACGGCTGGGACAGATCTTCCTCAGGTTGCGGTAGACTCAGGACCCTGTGTCACTCAGTGCCAGTGTACACCTGGCAGACGGGTGGCAGCACAGGGCCGGCTCTGAGAAAGATGACAGACAGGCAGAAGGCCCCATGGCACCTGCGGATCCAACACTAGGAAAAATGCAGGGCTCAGGATGCAGGCTTGGTGGTCACACACAAGAGCTCAATGCTCTTGCTTCCCCTTTCTTTGCCAGGTTTGTCAACCAGTGTGGGGGCAGGGCCTGGCATGTTACTTAAAATGGGCTCACAATCAACTCCTTAGGTACAAGGGGCCTTGGAAAGAAATATTTGGACCCCCATTCTAGAAGCAAAACTAACTAATGCATGAGTGTTTCCAAATCTGATGAATGACAAGGTAGATTAAGAGATATTTGGCAAACAATTATTTTCCTCTCATTTATTTTCACTCCTTTGAGAACACAGGCAAGAAACACACCCGTAGCACAGTGCCTGCTATGAAAGACATGGGATCCTCCTGGACTAGAGAAATACCGAGAAAAGCTGGGTAGTTATTGAGAATATGGGGCTCAAGAGGTGCTTGTTATAAATATTAGAGATTCTGCTCACAAGAGGGTGAAACTACCTCCCTTGACAAAGTCAATGGGTGTCAGGAACACAGCGGTCAAAGGGGAAATGGAAAGTGAAAATAAGGATATCAAATAAAGGAAAGAGTCCTTAGGGAAACACCTGACAATGAAGAGAGGGCTCTTTCAGCTCCATTCTCCAGGAAAGGAGGCCATCTCACGATGGAGGACTCCCACCCCACCCAGGAGGCAGAAATCCTAGTATTAGGACCTCTTATGTTAAGA